TAGCATAATTCTCAAGGTTTAATCGAATTAACACATGCAAACCTTCATTAATCACTTTAATCTCAACAATCAATCAACACAATTCCCAAATTAATCACAATCAATCAATCATACAAGTTTCACTCAATTTCTAGCCAAACAACTAATCAAGAATCATCATCTATTAACAAACAACTAAAGAAATCAAGAATCAACAAAATATCAAGAACAATTCCACTAATCAAGAATCAAACATCAAAATTAAACCAAACAAACATGAAATTAAATAAAGCAATAAAATGAGATATAGTGAGAAATGCTCATTAATTGATTAAGAAGATCTTCAATACAATTGTCACCGTTGAATCTTCAATCTCTTAAAAAACCATTGAAATTCCTCAATTTCTCTCTCTAAAACTACTCCTAAACTATCCCTAAAACTAGGGAGAGAAGCTCTCAACCAAAGCTAAGATATGAGCAAGAAAGTCTAAGCTAATCTAAAGATTGTCCTCTAAAAATAGAAAGGTCAAAGTTATTTTATAATAAAATGAGCCAAGGGAAGGAGAGCAGGCCGTGCGCACGCACCAGCTCCTTGTGCACATTCACAGCAAGGTGCAGAGCAGGTCGTGCGCATGCACCAGCCACCCCGTGCACACGCACAGAAGGGTCTGCACGAACGCACCCCTGATGTGCGCACGCACCCCTGTTGTGATGCTCGAGGCTAAGCTCCCCTTGCTTGCTCGATCGATCTTCGTGCTCCCGTGCATCCCTATCACCAGTGCACTCAAGGCGATGCCCGAGAGGAGGGAAGCCCTTTTATTCTTCAAGCACCTGTACACTATGGATCTATTCATTACTTCTTTGGTGCTCGTACTTGCAAAGCTAGCTTGGTTTGCTTGAGCTGCATGCATGGATTCCCAAACGTAACTCCATTGACTTCCTTGAATGTGCTTGAGCTTCCTCCTCGATAATTAAATCCCAGGAAACTCGGCACACCTACAAAACAAGTAAAGAAATGGAGAAGTTAGAGAAATAGCTGAGAAATGAAGAAAATAACAAGAAAACCATCAAAAGCACACATTTCTCTTAACTTATACACAAGCACGCAAAACAAGTATTATTATGTAAAACACAACATAAAAGACTAAAAACGATCATAAAAATAAGAAGAAAACCTACCCTAACAGTGCCATAAATGGCACAAATCACAAACTGCAAACCTTTGTCAAAAACCATAGAAATAGGCACCCCGAACTAAGTGATGATATTCCTCTAGATGAAGGAGATGACGTCCTTTGTCTTGATGTTTTTGACTTCTTCTACCTCTAACCATTTGGTAAAGTAATCAACTGCCACTAAGATGTAGCGTTTGCCGCTTGAAGCAACCGTATAAGGCTCCAAAATGTCCTTGCCCCTTTTAGCAAACGGTATGGGGTTGTGGATTGCCGCTAGATAAGTGGCAAGCCGATGGATCAGCTTGCCAAATTTTTGACACTTATCGCTTATTTTAACCATCTCCATGGCGTCTGACTCAAGGGTGGGCCAGAAGTAGTGTCGCCTGACTCTGACGGCCAAGGATTTTCCGCCTGTGTCAGAGGCGCAGTATCCCGCATGCAATTCTCCGAGAACTTCTTTTCCCTTTTATGGGTGTTTCGGCTGTTTTTTTGTCCCTAAGGAGAGTAACAACTCGAAGACCAGATTTGACAAGGGCGCCTATACCTGCAAAACAAACGGAGCTCTAAATGGTCAGAGGTCCACCTTCGAAGATTAATTTAGTACGGATTCGGAGAAAATCGTGCGAAAAGTAGGTATCCTCTCGGATTCCGAGATCAAGTTTTCTTTATTTTTCGAAAGCAATAAATGTCTTAATGATTTAAACGTAAAGTTCAAGATGTCCCAATTATTAGGGGAATCTCCCTATTTATGGGGTCCTAGAAAAACATGTCGTGTCCCAGGGTTTGATGACTTAGGGATTAGGGCAGCACCGTTTTGCGGTACCACTTGGAATTTGGGCCTTGAAGACCGCCATTCCCAGGGGCATATCTTAGTGACACGTGTCGTCCATCTGGGGAGTCCATTTGGACACCTCTGAGCCCGACACATGTCATCCTCTCATTGGCCCACTTGGAGGGGTATAAATACCCAAATCAATCATATTATTAATTTCACCTGTAGGTGTCGTTCGAAGTGCCCCTACGTTAGCATGTTGTGAATATGCTTGGCACTCATAGGAAGTAGGAATTGACATTAAGATTAGGGCCAAAGCAAAGTAGGGAGCCGCCAACAAGTTTTTAAGGAACTTGTAAACCGTTCACGGATCATAAAAGGCAACCAAAATAAAGGGACAACGAAAGGCAATAACGATTGACCCGTGAAGGTTACACCCCATTCATAATCCATGAGATTACTAACTCCATATGGTTCGAAATCACTAAAGGAGGATTGGGGATGACGGTACGAAGTGAATCATGGAGTCACATTCGCTCTTATTGGCCTCTACTCGATTCTTATAACGAAAAGTGATTCCTGCGATCTCAAAGGCATGCAAACAAAGAATCAATTTGCTCCAAACTATTATTATGCTAAATTAGTAGAATATTAATTCAACATATAATTCTAAAATATTGTGCTCATTTGATTTAATTACAAGATTTAAAAGGAACCTAAACCGGTCGTCCAAATTATCTTATTAGGCGTGATATTCAATTACATATTCCCTTTAAACATGCAATATGGTGATCAATAATAATATAATAAACATTAAATTTGGAAGCAATTCAACAATAAATAATGTTAGTCAAATCAAATAATTACGATAACTCTAATCATAATACTAGCAATATTAATAATAAGAGTAATTTAGAGAACTAATTACTTACTTTTCGCGCTTCCTTAAATTGCTACATCATGAATAAATTGTTAGTAACTTCAATAAAAATATAAATCAAATAGAAACAGTTAAATTAAATAAAAAAGTAGAGTTGATATGGTCTAACCCTCACTCAATTATACCTTTCACACCTTGCTTAAAGGACGGATCCTCGGGTTAAGTATGGACTCCTTGTAGTGCTTAAGGAAGGAATGATGTAGATAGGATTATAAGTTTAAGGCTTAGAGTATGAGAGAGAGAGAGAGAGAGAAGAGAATGATTTTTTGGTGTAGAAGAGAGGAAGAGAGAATGATTTTATGCCCCGAATTGCATAAATGAGGGGGGTATTTATAAGGAAAATGAATAGAGGGAACATCAAGAACCCTACAAAGATAAAAACCCTAAAAATAAATGCCGCAGCATGTTAGCATATTGCCGACACGACAAAATATGTCGTGACACTGGAGAATTTAGCGTGACACGATAAAGCTAGCTACAACCCTAAAAAGGATAAAAACACATTCAGGTTTATGCGGAGAAAACACAGGAAAGTTTCGTGACACGGCGCATGTACCGTGACAGGACAAAAAATGTCGTGGCGCGGCAAAGTTCATTGAGGCGTGACACGTGGCGCCGTGTCACGGTGTTTTATTTTTTCAAAATGTGGTGGAAAATACACAAAAAAGGCACTGTAACTCGGTTTAGAATATCGTGTCACAGAAATATGCACCGTGCCACGTCAGCCTTATCCGCGATGTAGCATTTTAGCTGTTGGGCGATAATTCTAGTTTTTTACGCATTTTTAAAACTACAATAAATTTTGATCCATAACTTGGAATAAGGAATATAATATATAATTAGAATGATTATAAAGTCTACTTTCCAACCTAATTGAAATCAGGTCAAAAGAATTTGCAGATTTTAAGATATGGCCGTTTTAGTGAAAGGGTGTCGGTTTTGGGCCGAGTTTAGTATTTTGCTCATTTCTTCTTCGTTTTGAATCGGAATTGGGTTTATGATATATTGTTGGAAATATTATTTCAAGGAATATACAACCAAGTAATAATTGGATCAAAATTAAAAGGCCAAAAAATCAGTTTCTCTCGATCTTGATTTTGTTATGTGGACACGAAAAGTGGAAAGTAAGTTATGGTTTAGGGAAATGAGCTATGAATTGGATTGGTTTATGAAATGTATTGAATGGAAAAATGGATTTTAGCACTTTAAATATTAAATACTCAACTTGAACAATAATGGCGGTGAAAGGTTGTTCATCATCGGGTTTGGTTTTAGGGAGAAATTTTTAGGTGTCTATAGAAGCCCCCACTTTGACCGAGTTTGTAGAAACGTCATTTTTGAAAACGATAGTCAAAGTAGTTGATAGGGACTGAGAATTATTTAAGACATTCTACGATCCTAAATCACTCTGTATATGCCGATACCTGCAGAAAAATGTAAGTTCCATACATAAAAGAGTAAAGGGATAGAATGCTTATCTGACACTAGTGTATCGGTGGCAAACATGTTTGATAGTATTTGACACCAGTGTATCAATGACAAATGAGTTTGGTATCTTTCTATGCTTGAATAAATCTAGCCGATGATATTTGTTGTGATACTTTCCATGCTTGAGGAAATTCGAATGATGAATTTGGCAGTTTTCTATGCTTGAAGAAATCCAACGGATAATGTTTGTTAAGATACTTTCCATGCTTGAGGAAAGTCAACAGATGAATTTGGTAGTTGTAACACCCCAATAATTCTCTCTTAAAACCTGTAAATACCCTGAACAAAATCCAAGAGAATTGCTGGTGTGCTACCTCCACGTGTTCAAACGTTAAGGCTTTATCAGATAATAGCAGCGGAAAAACTAACTCAGTTATAATTAAGTTTTGAAACCAATAACCAAAACCAAATTAAATGATACAAGATGGAACCATTAAGGCCCACTACCACAAAAAGTGGCAAAAGTAACACATAATACATAACTGTTAAGTTTGACAGGCGTTCTCTAGAAGTAAATAGAACGCCTTTGTTAGAGGATAGCTTTTTATGTTGAATCAAATAGAACGCCCCTCATTAAGAACAGTTTAATATAATTTACCATAATAAAAATAAAAATAAAATAAAATATGGATATATATTATAGAACGGTGTTCTAAGTTGACAGTTCCCACTTGATTTATCAGTTTTTATTTTATTTCAACCACTCCCCACTAGTTATAACCTAATCCCCCTAATTTTCACTTAGCTTCTAGCCTTCTACCGCCTCCTCTTTCTTCATTTTCTCTATAACTCCTCCTCTTCAATGAAATTTTTCTTCTCTTCATCTTTAGATCCCTCTATGCTTTTTTTCATCTCCAACAAAATGTAGAGGTTTCTATTTCAATAATTTCTTTTCCGACCCCCCTTTTCATTCAAGTGCGAAATCAATTCCGATCCATGATTCTCCCACAAGCCTAGATTGGAACCCTCGAATTACTTTCTCCATGGCAAGCATTCCCCGTGAATCTAAGCGCTACAAGCACCGCCACCACTACTGCCATAGAAGCTCCATCACCATCACCTTCACCTTCGTTGCATAGCCACCACCTCGGGTTGTTAGATTGCATCGTCCCACTTCAACAAGAGCATTTAAAATTCGATTTTCGGGTGGTATGGAGAAAATCAACTTATTATGAGCAATACATAATTTTTTTTTATTTTATTCAATTTTGGGTTTGAAATTTTGTCAATTCTTGTTTTTATAATATAAAGGGTAATAATAATTTTATCGATTTTTATTATATATTTCTGTCATATCAGTTCGATTTTTAGGATAATGGGGATTTAATTTATTTTTTTGTTGATGAATCAAGGTATAAAATGGATATGAAATTTGTACAGTTAAACACTATTGCTCTATCAATGAACATTCAACCACTATTTTTTTCTTTTAGAATTACCGAATCCATCTTCATGTATAGCTAAGCCTTGAAATCTAATACACTTTATTGTTGCAGGGATTTACATAATAAGGTTTTGAAGCAAAGGAGCTTGATACAACATAGATTGATTTGGTGATTTTGGTCGTATCAGCTGGGATAATTCTAGAGATTGGAGTTGGTTATTAGCATTCTAATATGAACTGTAATTTTGATTATATTAGATTGATTTTGTACCTGATTTCATTTTCTATGTATATATTATTACTGAGTTGAATTGAAATCATAATTCATTAGTCCATTTGAAAATTCTTGATTAAAGTTAATAACGCATTAGTTTTCTTACTTAGATCTAATCTCTTATTGTAATCCAAACTACCACTATTTAGCATTCGAAATTAATGCTTTCGTATAATATTTTTTTCCAATCGTTTTAATATTTTTTTTTTTGAAAAAATAGAAATAAAAAGAGAACTGATTTGTGAGATAGGCGTTCTCTTTTTATAGACTTATGAAACGCATGTCACTAAGCAACCGTTCCATTTTCCTTGTTTTCTAACTAGTCGGTATATATCATTCGAAACGCTTATTTATACCAAGTGTTCAATATTGTATTGAATATAGAACGCCTCTTGAAGACGTCTTGTAAACTTTATAAGGCACCCTAGTTGAAGAACGCCTCTAAGGCGTCCTATAATGCCTATTTAAGGCGTCCTATAATGCTTATTTAAGGAAAAACTAACTCAGTTATAATTAAGTTTTAAAACCAGTAACAAAACCAAATTAAATGATACAAGCTGGAACTATTAAGGCCCTTATTCAAAACCCAACAAAAGTACTAAATAAATAAAACCAGAGTTTAAATAATTCAAACTTATGAAAAGAAATAAACTGCGAATAATAACCAACTCTCTACTCAAAATCCCACAACCCTGATGTGAATGCTGCTTATGTAAGAACATGTGGTTAATCTACTCCCCAATATTACAAGTGTAAAAATTGGATCGTCACAGGGTCATTGAAAGGCAAAGGCCATGACCAAAGAAAGACACACAAAGCACGCAATCAGCAAAGCTGAGTACATATAAGCTGCAAAACGTAAAAGAAATACCTAACACGCTACTAATAGTCAATCATCACGCAACATTAGTTTATAGACTCGACACATGACTCAACTATCAAATTTATTAAGACTTCACTAGTTAATATTAACTAACTCATTTATTTATTTCATTGGATTTAGCAATAGACAAGGTTGTCCAACCCATGTCCCATTTGGAACATCAATAAAAGAAAAACTTCATGCCTCCTTTCAGAAACATCAATAAACATCCAACGACCACAGGCGCGACTCCGTGACCGTAGTTAGTATGAGATCTCACCTAACTCCTAGTTTTAAAAAAATATTTTAAATAGGAGACTCGTAGATCAGACGGCCTCGATAAAAGTACACGACTAATACCCCGTGTACCCCAACCCCTGATTGTCATTACTCCAGAAGTGCACCAATCCAGAGTTTTATTGCTCATCCATCTTGCACTTTACGTGATTTACAAGTTTAGACTTGGTGATGACTCATATGCATAACAATACAAACATTCTAAACACAATTCAATCAAACAAGACAAGTTTTCGATTTCAATTCTTGATTTATTAGTGACAAACAACAGTTATTATTTATTCCTTTACTACCTCGGTGTATAAACACCTTGAGTGCATAAGGCACCCCAAAACCTTAACCTCGTCTTATAAGACTTGAATTCTTCCTTTACTCATCCTGTTTGCATAATCATGAATGAGTAATAAATTAATCTTTACACCAATTGCATACCTTTGCCTCTAAGCGCACCTTGCATAATTAGAGCACAAATAATACTTGCAATATAAAATAGTGCACATCATACAAAATTCACAATTTATAACCAAACAATATAACTCAGTCATCCCTATACATGATACTAAGTTCTCGATCCGTCCTTAAACATGCACCTAAAAGAAAGGTTTCATAACTTGTACGTACCTTGAATAAACGAATTGGTATGCCACTTTACTATCTAGAAATCACCATCAATAAACTCCTCTCCTAAACCAAAGAATTACATCTCAATCAATACCCAATCAATCAAATTTACAGCAATACTAACTTACTTTAAAACTTTCAAAATCCAAATCAAACAACACTTTAAAACCTTCCCTTTAGTTAAAATTAAAGGCTTATATATAGTTCTTTAAATTTTCTTCATAAAAACCTTAAAATACACTCTTATACATGAAATTACAGCAAGTTAAAAGTCTAATAAAAATCTGAAAATTATTTAAAAACCCCTAATAATCACCCTTTTTAATGGGTGATTAAACCGTCTTTATAAAACATCAAAAGTAATACTTAGAAACTATTTTCAGCATTTAAAACTTCAATAAAACATATATTTATGCTTAATTAACTTTAAACATAATTAATTTTATCAATCAAACTCAAGGATAATATTTTAAGTATAAAAAAACGTCGTTAAAATCAAAAACTGCCCGAAAATCATATTTAAAAGCTGAATTTGGCCACAAGAGGATGGTACACACTACCAAAGGTGGTGAATCTTTCCTAAAACATTGTTTCCACATGAAAAATACTACTTTTTCATCAAAATCGGATGAGTTCAGAACCTGATCGGGTTTAAAACGGGATTAATATTAATGAACGAAAATCTTAAAATTAAAACACGAATTTAAGTGTTTAAAATAATTTGGAATTAAGTTAAACTAATTAGTAGTTATAATCACCAAAATTTCAAAACATCATTACTATAAAAGCCGTAAATCAATTGTTCATAAAAACCCTAAAATCATGATTTTCAATAATTAAAAACCCTAGGTTATAAAATTTATAAAACCTGAAAATTACGACACTTATAAAATCTGAAATTATAAAGTTTAATCATCAAAATACAATTTTATACTAATTAAATTAATTTCAAACAATAAAATCAAAACCCATAAATCAATAATTATAATTACACAAATTAATAAAACTAAGGAGAAAGAAAATAAGACTAACCTTTATGTGTGAGAAATTTTTGGGGATTCATGGGGTATTTATAGGAGAGAATTGTAGGTTAAATAGGAAGATTGGGCCTCATAAAAATAATGGGTCGATTAAGTAAATAAATGGGTTAGGCTTGTGTGATTGGACATAAATTGTAGAATAAAGGTGCATAAAATAATTTGTTCAAATAATTTTCAACCCAGATTAATAATTTAAAACTTTTGAAATTAAATTATGAAAAATAACAAATAAATATTATAAATAAAATAAAATTCCATTTATAAAATATTTAAAAAATACGGGGGATTACAGTAGTTTTCTATGCTTGAAGAAATCCACCGGATGATACTTTCCATGCTTGAGGAAAGTCGATAGATGATATAATCAATGACTTCTTCACCTTGAGAGGTGGAATCAACCGACAATTTTCCATGCTTGAGGAAAAACTAGTCTAATCATGATATAGTAAGTCTCTATGTATCGAGAACCTTGCGTCGTGAATCGTCTTCACTTGGGAGATGATCACTAAAATGATGATGTTTCGCTTGTCCCTGAACGTGGGTTGTAGATGGTTCACTTGTCCCCGAATGTGGGTTGTAGATGGTTCGCTTGTCCCCGAATATGGGATGTAGATGTTTCGCTTGTCCCCAAACGTGGGTTGTACATGGTTCGCTTGTCCCCGAATGTGGGTTGTAGATGGTCCGCTTGTCCTCGAAAGTGGGCTATAGTTGGTTTGCTTGTCCCCGAACGTGGGTTGTAGATGGTTCTCTTGTCCCGAACGTGGGTTGTAGATGGTTCTCTTGTCCCGAACTTGGGCTGTAATTGAGACCTGCAAACTAAAATTTTCCAATGGACTCGTACAGACTATGATTGATTTGACCAACTAACTTCACCAAGCTTGACTTGACTTGAAATTACATGACATGTGTATAACTTGTGGTTGTGTGAGTGTATATGGTGTGTGTGTGCAAACACAAGCAACCGAAAATGCAAAAGCAAAAATTTTATGCCATTTTTGTCATAAGACGAGTGGAGGGTATAGACTTTCTTCTGAAAAAGAAAGACGTGAAAAATGAAGTTTTGTTTTCGAACTTCCTTCGATTAGAAAATTTTGAAAAAGTTATTGAACCTCCCCAAAAGAAAAGACATAAAAAAGGGAAGAAGTTTTGAACTTCCTCATTGAGCAAACCGATATAAATCGGATGGATTTTCTTCTTGTCAACTTAAATTTCTTGTCTTGATAATAATGTATGCATGATGAATGTTCTTAGGCCAGGAGGCTAAGAATAATTACATCATGTGACACGATCAATGAATGCACTTGTTAATGAAGCTAAGCATAATAGTGTATGAAAAAGAATCTTGATGAACGTTGCTTAGGTCTAGAAGCTAAGCACGATATGCTTTGTATGATTACAAATCATTGATAGATAAATGTTGCTCAACACATTATGCCATGCGTGAAACAATGAACATTTCTTAGGTCAGGAAGCTAAGCAAGTATACAATGTTTCTTTTAATGAATGTTAACTTGAAAGATGATTTAGCATGCGCGGTAGGGAAAAAAGATTGCATGATAAAGGGTTTCTAAGGGAAAGATGATATGGCTATGTATGTGTGAAAGAAGTGTGTTAAAGTGATACTAAGGTGAGGCTGCAAAGGCTATGGTGATGGAAAGAGATGTGAGAACAGTCAAAATGGTGACTCTTTAGGCTAGGTAGGCTAAGTGACGTGGGTTCTAGCCCCCAAGTCTAGCTCTAGATGGATAGGTTCATAGGGATAAGAATTAGATATTCTTCGACTCGATCATGCATATAAATGTGGCCGCACCTCAATGTGAGGTTGCCTACATATCCGTTAGGAATCAGGTCAAACGTAACTCTAAAAGAACTTTGCACAAGTGTATGTATACCTCAAAGAGGTCTCTCAAGGGTTGTAATGTGGTTAATCTGAAGGTTTAAGGAAGAAAAGGGTAAAAGGATCAAGACCCGAGCAAAGCCCCCAAGATATGAAATTGTATATTTGAAAATTTGGACTTTGCAAGTATTATATAATTTTTTGTTTGAATTTCTTTTCTTTTTTTTATTCTTTTAAATCGATGTAGACAACCTAGGATCATGCAATCCATCACTCACTTAGCATTCATGTTTCTCAGGCACGGTACCACGTACTCAATGAGAGACGCAATTTGAGACGTGTTCATATTGAAGACATTGAAACACTTGCCTTTAGACATTGTTTTTTTTTTATTATTTACTGTAG